CTATAACCATAACTATCTGTCTTTAATTCTATCAAAGACCACAGAAGGATAATATATAAACTCTAGAATTGACAGAGACATCTGCTACCTGGAGAGCCACCCAAAGTTCCTCTGTAACGTTGGGGCAACCCTCTTCAACCCATAGGACAACTCAAGGTGACTGCTGAGACTGAGCCTGGCTCCCCCTCCACTTGGTTCCCTCTGATTTAGTAAAACTGTTCCTGTCAAGGGTCTGTTCTAACCTCAGGATGAGGCAAAAGTCCATCTGAGGTTCCCAAGCTTCCCCAGCAGCTGATCCTGGTGACCACAGAGAATCACTCTTCCTCATAAACACTTTCTGTTTTAGGTTCAAGTAGGACTAGCTGACATATTTGTTTTAATAAATCACATCAAAATAGGACTTGTTTATCTTTAGAGACATGATCAATTCCTAGATTCTATAATTGTTAAGAGGATCGTCAGAAAAGTGTCAGATGGAGAAGGCATCTTCATAACACAGAAAACAATCCGTTATGTCTGAACCTGGGCTTTATGAATGCTGAGCGCCCCCTGCTGGTCATGGGTATCTGCCAGGGAGGTTTTTGTCTGGGCTCACACTGAAGACTCCTCAGTGTGTTGCTTGTACAGTAATAAGTGGCCGTGTCATCAGTTCTCAGGTTGTTCATTTGCAGGTCGGCCATTTCTTCGGGAATCATCTCTGGAGATTTTGAATCTGCCTTTCACCGAATCAGCATAAGAGGTTGCATAATTGTTACTTTCAGTGGTTACATAAGCAAACCACTCCAGCCCCTTCCCTGGAGCCTGGCGGACCCAGTACATGTTATAGTCAGTGAAGGTGAATCCAGAGGCCACACAGGAGAGTTTCAGTGACCCTGCAGGCTTCACTAATCCTCCACCAGACTCAACCAGCTGCCCTTACAGTGGACACCTGCAAACAGAGAGGATCCTGATGAAGAAACTGTCACAAAGTCTACTGTCTCTCTCACTCATGTCTCCTCACACACTCAGTATCCCGTGTTATCTACCTTTTAAAAGAGCAACAAAGAAAACCCAGTGCAGCCCCAGCCCCATGTTGAATGTCGTGTTTTCAGTGCTGATCTCTGAATGAGTAGACAGGGCTAGAGTCCTCTGCCTGACTGCGGGGTCAGGACAGGTCTTGTTTTATGAGCACAGAGAGGCCGTGTTTGCATATCTTCCTGATATATCTTATTCTCTGGCGTGTGAGCCTTAGAGGCAGCAGCAATGTTGCAAATGTCTGAGAGAAAATGAAATAGTGACTACCAAGTTTTCATTGAACTATTATTCATTATTTGTTTGCAAAAAGCTTCAACATCTTTAATTTATTTATTTTTACATGCATTCTTTACTTCTTAAATCACCAGATACCACACAATAAGTTCATCGAAGTTTAAACATTCAAAATTACAATTCTAAAATTCAAGGGGGACTAATGTAAAGATCAATGAATAGTGAAGTATGCATAATTTACTATAATAAAACTGGGCTGGGGACAGCATGGGGGGAAATTTAACATGAGCCAGGACACACATTTTGCCCTCAATATAGAATACATATGAATGCATATATAATAAATATACATATTAAATAATCATTAATGATTCGGAGGCTATTCCTTGAGAAATCCTATAGACATCACAATCTGCTATTACACATAGGGACAAATGTTTGTGATTGGCATTTGTTAGTTAACACCTTTGGCATCTGTACCATTATTTTTCCTCAAAATGAATATAGGCTCCTTGTGTGTGGTTACAACAGGAAGGAGAGGAGTCTGTTACCTGGTCTGTAGTGCCATGGTTTATGTCTTCCCATCTCTTCTACCCTCTGATTATGTGGTGATGCCATAGTGGTTGTGGGATCACTCTTCAGAGGCCCCTTTGAATGGTCATCCCTGTAATAGAGAGTTTGGAATTAATTGATTAATGAAGTCATGTTTTAGAGAAAGTTTGCTATGGCTAAGAGTTCTTATGAACCATGACATTATTGTTTTTGCGGCACTTGCAGGAAAGTGACTTCATTTAAAGCAACTAAATGCAGTGAGCTGCTGATCTGAAGTCACTTCTGTTCTGTGTTCCTTGATGATCAAATCATTTCTCTGCCAGGTTTCACTTATTTAGCCTGGTTATGTGTGGATAAGCAAAAGGAAGAAACTCTAGACAGATGTGGTGACCTCCCTTGCTGTTCCATCTTTGTATCTGTTCCTTAGGACCATAAATGAGGTGTGGTCACCCCCTGCTGACCTGTTCTTCATATTCATCAGGTTGATCTGTTATGGGAGTTGCTTCTGATCAGGAGTATGGATGATCTATAGGATCCATCAAGTCTGGAATGTGGACATTAGATTCTGCGTATGGACTTTGTTCATTTCTATGCCCTTTTCACAGTGAGACGGTGACATCTCAGGGGGTTTCTTCTCACAAGAACTGCTGGAGGATACTCACACACAGTTTCTCATAGTCAGGATCTAGTAATATTTCTTGCAGCAAACTGGAACAAAAATAAATGCACATGAAAGTAAGCATGGATGCTAGGATCAGCCTCATCACATTTCTAAGAAATTGAAGGTATATAAAATATTATATTGATTCCATAACTACAGGAAGAGTTGCATAAAATGACATGATCACTCTTTGCTATTAGCTAGCAGAGTGGTGATAAGAGCAAAACATTAGGGGAAATTTCAGCAGATGTTTCCCCAGAATGATTTCAGGGTCCTAGTGCCCAGCTGTTCTACAGAAAGAACCGTGTTCTCAGCCCAGACACCTGATGGTCCAGGACTGTGTTTTGTATCCAAAAGACTGAAGAAAACTAATTAAATAAATATAGTTTATTGATAATATAAACAATTGGAAAAACTACTTGCAAATATTTTTGATGTTTCTGTATGTGGTATGTTTGTGTAAACATCCTCATTAATCAAGTTACTATTTATTGTCTTCAACATAAACACAGGTCTTATGCCTGCCATCATCACAGGATGGAGAGCAGTCTGCCACCTGGACGCTAGGGAGGCCATGTATTGGCTGCTTGTGAGGAAGACTTCCTTATTAAGGGATGAAATAGGGACACACACTCATGAATACAGCAGGACGTGACACTGTTGCCTCTTCCTATGCCAGGGAAGGATGGAGAAAAGCACATGACCATTGCATGTTGAAGCCTTCAGCTTCCAAGAGAGAGAGAGCACAGGACTCCTGACCTCAGGTCTTATCTGGACACTAAGCAGAGAGAACCATGCCAAGTATTTTAAATTCACCACAGACCTGAAAGGTCTCTAACACAGAATTGGCACAGGTGATTCATGCCTGCCAACAAAATTTTATCATATGAGGCTTCATCCATATTCAGCTCATGGCATTCAAATTTCAAGGTTAAGTGTGTTTGCTACAGGAACATGCAAAATTAATACTCTCTGCCACAGAGACTTCTTACTGCATCCAAACATTGAGATTATGAAGTACTTTAGGCCTCCATGCTGCTCATTATATAAAACCAAACACATTATGGAGCAAGGGTGACTTCAAGATATCCAGTGGACGGTGAAGTATGTGGGTGTAACACAGTAAGGCAGTGTTCTGTAAATGCTTGAGACTGTGGGTCAGGGTTCAGGGACTGGAAAGGCAGTAAACTTGAGACCAGATTATTATGAATAATCTTAAACCTATTCTTAATTAGCATGTATATACATTGTGTTTGATGAAAACTAATTTAACGATACACTTGTTCAACTTACAATAATTACACTTTTGTAGCAATGCATAATGACACAAATATTTCATTCATTGTAAGAGACCAGAAGTTCTTCTGGATGACACAGGCTGAGATAAAAACACACATTCATGTTACTCAAGACTATGAGAAGAAGACAAAAGGGAACAGGAATGTGGTGTAGGGGGAAGAATAGAGAAGACTGAAATAAGAGATTCCATCAGTTAGGGGGCCAGTATAGGTTTAAGAAATCAGGCATTAGGGAAATTTCCAGATCTACAAGGATGACACCAACTAACAATCTAAGCAACAGAGGAGAGGCTACCTTAAATGCCCTCCCCTGATAATTAGATTGATGAGTAACTTATATGCCATCCTAGAGCCTTCATCCAGCACCTAATGGAAGTAGAATCAGACACCCACAGCTAAACACTGAACTGAACTGGAATCCAGTTGCAGAGAATGTGGAGTGATGAACAAAGGAGTTAAGACCAGGCTGATGAAACCCACATAATCAGCTGAACAAGGGTGAATGCTTGCCCCCCCCAGACTGATCATTGGGAAGCCATCATGGAAATGAAAAAGACCCCATAAATGTGGGTGTCAGTGAGGAGGCCTCAGAAATCTATGGGGCCTCTTGTAGTAGATCAATACTTATTCCTAGCACAGGAATGAATTTTGGGAGCCCATTTCACATAGAGGGACACACCCTCAGCTGAGACACACTATGGAGGGCCTAGGCCCTATCCCAAAGCATATGACAGACTCTGAAGACCCACCATGGAAGGCCTCACTGTCTCTGTGGAGCAAAAATGATATGGGATATGTAGGCTGTTGGTTTGGGGTAGGGGAGGAGACAAGGGAGAGGGAACTGGGATTGACATGTAAAACAATATTGTTTCTAATTTAAATAAAAAAGACTTTGAGAGGATATTTGGTTTGGTGTGATGTCATTTATTTGTACTTTACAGGTAAAATATTTTATTCAAAGCTACTGCAACCAAATCCAGTCTCAAAGATATTATTGTCACTATGCATTTCCACAGTTTTAGTGTTTTATTACAGAAGGAACATGTACATGGAGATGGTCACTGGACCTCATTCAGCATCGTTTTATTACAGTTGAAACTTGGAAAACTTAACAAAGACTGTTGAGACTGTGATGGAGGGTCAGAAAAGTCACCACTCAAGTGATTATTTCTGAGCAAGTCTCCAGGATCATCTTCTTTGTCATCTCAGTCCCAGGGAACTTTCCTGCCACTCCACGGTTTCTGACACACTCAGGCTGTGGTTGCAACACTGTGTCTCTTGCACAGTAATAGTCTGAAGAGTCCTCAGATGATGGGCTGCTGAGCTCCTTGTAGGCTGTCCTGGAGAGTTTGTCTGCAGTTAGTGTGGCCATTCCCTGGAACTTCTGACGGTAGCTAGTACTGCCATCTCCAGGAAAAAATCTCCAATCCACTCCAGGCACTGTCCAAACATCTTCTTCACCCAGCTCATAACATAGCTAATGAAGGTGTAGCCTGAAGCCTTGCAAGACAGCTTCACTGAAGACCCAGGCCTCCTCAACTCAGCCCCAGACTGCTACAGCTAGACCTGGGAGTGGACACCTGTGGAGAGAAAGGCCTAGTGGATGTCATTGTCACCTGAGTAAATGGCCCCTCCTCAAGTCTGGAACTTAAGCACTTACCTGTAGCTGCTGTCACCAGGAAGAGGATGATCCAGCTCCATCCCATGGTGAGGACTTGTGTGCTCAGGGACTGTGGAGAGGACACTGATGATGTGTTGTTGGTGTGGACATCCCTGTATTTACCAGCACAGATTTCATGATTTGCATATTCATGAGCAAAGAATTGCTTTAAATAAGGACCTACTCAAGTTTGAGGAGGTAGAGGACACCTGGATCAGGCAAAGGATGCTGATGTCCAAATCCTAACGCTGTCTCAGGAAATGCATTCTTTGTCTTAGGTCAGGGCTGTGCAGATGCTGTGGGTGAAACATCAGGACCTAAACTCTCAGTAGATTTCAGGCCTGAGAGAGTTGCTCTGCTTTGTGACAAGGTTGTCAGATTTATTTAAAGAAGATGGTTGTGATTATGATGGTGATGAATGGAAATTTCAAAATATGATAAATTTTGAGAATTTACATGCTCCTGTCAGATGTATAGAACTAGTATTTGTCCTTCAAGTAGGCTACATACAAACTGAATTGACTTCTGAATTGGCCTAAAGGGAACATACCTCAGAAACATTTGCACATTGATATTTATTGCAGCACTGTCTGCAATAAATTATTGAGCTTTACTTCACATCTGTCAGCAGATGACTGCAGCAAGAAGACAC